GGTGGGGGGGGGGTTGGGGGCAGGAATAGGCCATTGAAGAAATGTACTTTCCCTACTTGTGTGTGTGTGTTTTTGTCCAATGGGCGCTTTAGCACGTGGGGTTGGAGTATTTCCTCACGCAGAAGATGTCTTGGAATCTAGTGAACAAATTCCCCCACAATCACTTCGTTTGGGAAGGCCTAGATGGCAGCACCGTATTGGCCCATTTCCCACCCAGCAACACCTACGTGGACGAGGTGAAAGTGGAGAACCTGGTGACTTTGATGAAAGAATTGAAGGACAAAGGCCGGACCCGACAGAGCGTGATGCTGTACGGATACGGAGACGGCGGGGGAGGACCGACCCGGACCATGTTGGAAAGGGCGCAGCGGCTTCGACACCTTCCGGGATTGCCCCGGGTGCAGCTCGGTGTTCCCAAGGTCTTTTGGGAGGGTCTGAAGGAGGAGGAGGCGAACCTCTGCCGGTGGGTCGGGGAACTCTACCTCGAGCTTCATAACGGCACCTACACCACCCAGGTGATGCATGTCACTCATCGTTTGAAAATTCTTCAGAATCATGTGGGCCGTGTTGGAAACTGATAGAATTTTTCCATTGATGTCTTTACAGTTAAGAAAAGAGGTATGATTCTGTCAACGGCGGAGGTTTCGTTTCCTTAGATTTCAGTAGTGCAATTTTTTATCTGTCAAAGAATATTACCTTGGTGTGAGTTGTTGAGATGTCTTCATATTTGTTTTCAAATTAATTACATCTTTTTTTTTAAGTTTTCCTTTGTAGTCTAGTAATGATGAACTATGGAAAATGATCTACGAAAGATGGAAATGCATGCTTATTCCAACTCGGTATCTCTATAATGTGATTATCTGTGACGTTACTGTAATCTCCCGTGAAACGTACTATACTGTCTTCCGTGAAGTCTCTGAGTTGGGAATGGCCTGAAATGATCCGTATCTTGGGTGTTTTCTCCCAGACCCGTTGATTTAAAAGTCCATTAGTGGTTCTCATGTGTCGCTTTGTTTCCGTGAAATTAGGCCGAGCTGAAGCGACTGAACCGTCGATGCGAACGGAGCCTTCAAGACGTGGAATTCCTTCTCACCCTCCTCATTGCAAAAAAGATGATCGACGACGACACGCTCGCGAGGTATGTATCCTATTCATCCTCGTTTCACTGCAGGAATTCCATGGGAAAGGGTCCAAAACCCTTCAGTACAAAAGAAGGTAGGAATCGCTTGAGGTGACACTTAACTTTTTCCTAATAAGGCACCTCGCAGTTTCACGTTCCCGTCGATGAAGAATATTACCCTAATAGCCGTTGCTGCAAACAAGCATCCCCACAATCTAGTTTCCTTGCTTGCATTGTATTTAGAGCGTGATATCGCATGATCGCATTCTTCCTCTGTTGGGTACTAAAAGGTTTCCAAGTCTTAGGAGGATAGAGCACTGTATTGGAGTGGTCACATTCTGAAAAAAGACGAAAGTCCTTAACCCTCTTACTACTGGGCCTAGAGCCTGGAACCCTGCCTGATGTATTAATCAGACACCAGGCAGACTGAATGATCGAATCTGTTAGCAAAAACGAGTGACGTGCAAAAGAAAACAAGCCTCGTCTGATCGGCTGAATTGGCTCATGGCAGTCTTAGCAGGACATGCCACATCGGCTCAATCAGCTCAATGGCAGTCAAAGGGTTAAGGAATGTACTCGTATATACCTCACCTCTTTTACTAGTTACAGATAAGTGCAGTCGTTAAGTGATTGTTTTTAAACATCTTTTATCACCCAATAACGACTTCTTTCTGAGCATGACTTTGTCCTTTATTTCACATTTTGGGATGCATAATACATATACAGGCAGTCCTCGCACTTACGCCACAATTGGTTCCTGAAAGTCACGTCGTAAGTCGAAACACAGTTAAATGCAAGCAAAACAACAGTTTTTCACCACCAAAATGGCGTCGTAACAGAGACTGCGTGACTGAGTCAGGCGCGTCGTAAGTCGAGGACTGCCTGTATAAAGAAAAATTCAGAGGACATCACAGACATCTATTTTATGTTGGGGAGGTATCCCCAGGGAAAAGGGAAAAGCAATGTCGAGTATTCTCCTGAGGGAAAGAGGGATGATCGTGTGCCAAAAGCTGCTATCTTATGGTATAGCAGGAGAAGCCTAAAGTTCCATCTCCAGTACAGTCTGCAGTGGAAAAGTGGAACTATAACTGAACTGTCCAGCGACTGAATTTTCCGTTTCAAGGGCTTAACAGTACTCTTTCAGTCGTAGGGTCTCTAAAAGACAAACCTGCCTGCTGAAACGTGTCAAGAAATATATCAATTTTTGCTAATGATTCTTTACTTCACAAAAACTACATTTCAGTACTGTCAGTACGACTTGAGTACTTTTCGCCCATGACAAAAGCACCTCGAACTCAAAGCAAGTTCATCGGTGCCTCAATCATCAGAAGCAATCTGGTGCATTTGCTTTTAAGCTCTCTGCCGATACTTCAACTTTGTTAGTATTTCCAGCACTAGTTCAGAAATTGAGTACCTAGCAAAGGCTTACGATCTCCCTAATGGAAGTTGCTGACACCTCTTTTGCCAGCATCAGATTGGAAAGTTCTGCTCAAGATCTGTATGTTCTGTACGTTAAGTACTTTTCAGGATTTTTTGCACTAGGTCAGAAGTTGAGGCCCGCAAAAAGCACGCAGACATCCTGTAACGATTTCTTCTCATTCTGCAGTGTGATAATATAATAGCCAACTAACCTTTTTTGCGCCTGATCTGTTTTACATTAGAAATTTACTCTTCGGTACTTTTGGTACTGAATTATTAGTATAGTTGCAGCTTGTACATTTTTTTTTTATCGTGCGTTAGTACGAAAATAATGTGACAGTGCGCGAATGCTATATTTAGGCTGAAATCGGAGCTGGTTGGTGGATGGAAGAAGGTGCTGCTGAATCAGTTCCACGACATCCTGCCCGGGAGCTCCATCGAGATGGTGAACGTGGAAGCGAGGCAGACTTTCCAGGAAGTCCTCAACTTGACCGGGAATCTTCAACGGCACGCCCTGCAAATCTTAGGTGAACGAACCCATGAATGAAATCCTGTTAAATAATGCAGTCAGCTCTCGTTAACCACAACTTCAAGGGACCTGCGATTTTGTCTCCACCATCGAGAACCTGAGTGAACGCTCATTTTACCTTTTCTTTAGCGAAGAACATTGCCCCCCCCCATAATGTACTGCAAAATGCCTTCGTATATTTTTTTTTTCAAACAGTTCTTTCATGTTCAGTTACATCGGAGAAATATCGTGATTGTTCAAAAAAAAAGACAAAAACCCGAGATCGGCGGCGATTTGGGGGTTGATCACCTTTTATTTTATCGTCCCCATCCTCCTACGTAATGAATTTTCTCGCTGCTCATAAGGGAACTTGCTGAGGCTCTAATGACAAGGATGGATGGATGAGGCTGGTGGGATGAAAGAGATCACTGCAAAGACGGAGAGGGAGCTCCAATGATGAGAGCAATCCTTATTACCCAATTCCAGGAAAGGGGGAGATATAAGAAGATTGAGCTTTTTTGTGTCTCCTGATTCCTGGACTGCAGGAAAGGAAGCGATTGGACCTCTTTTCTGTCGCATTTCTCTTCTGCAAGCTAGTCCGGATTGACAGAAAATAGACCAGAGAACTCATCTGTATGAACGGGATCTACGAAATAGCAGCGTCCAGAGGATTTAAATACAGGTTCTTCTATATTTAAATTCTCCGGACGCAGCTATCTCTGACTGGGGTTTCTGCATATGGTATTTCTGAGTGGACCGTTCCTCCTGTCCGAATTAACGGGAGAGCCCTATCACTGGAGCACTATCGTTTGGATAAACGAAAGTTGAGTATATCCGAAAACAGAACCATTATAAGGAAATCTGCATTCACTGAAAGAGCACTCAGGAAGGCGAGGAATGAATGAATGAATGAAAATATTTGCTAAATTGCCATGAACTGGTGGTGAGATCGAATGAATCGCAGATGCGAAGAAACTGCACTGTCTATAACAAGGAACAACGCCAGAAAACAAATTGTCAGCATGAACAGGTTGAGGAGCAAAGGAAATGGGAATGGAGAAGTATAAATGAAAGGAGGAAATGGATAAGGTTTCAACCCAAAGATCATCCTAGCCTCAAGAGACGGCAGTACTGCCACACGAGGCATCAAACCTACCCACCCCTACGCGCCCCCTTTTCGTCCGTGAAGGAAGTTCCGCCGAATTGTTCCATTTCCTTTCCACATCCCAAGCAACCCACCTCCGTGGCCTGGACTCATTTTCATTTTTTACCAATCAACTGCAGATAATAATTTATTTGAGCATGTGGAAATAGTAAATAGGAAATAGTATTTGAAGTTGAAGGACCAGTACCCTTGGGATACCTGAAATTCAAGAAGTAAGACTGGAATGTCTTATATATGTTAAGTCCGCAAAATATATGAAACATGGATTTCATGAAATAAATAAGTAAACGAGCTTTTAAATATGTATTTGGAGTGATAGTGCTCCGAGCTTGAAACGCATGTCCCCTTCTCTTGTTGGCTTTATGCTGTACGGAAACATGAACCAACAATATTGACATAGAATAAATTATTGGTTTTGGCAGCTGTATTCAATGTTGTGAAATTGAAGAATCGAGCAGTGATCATGAAAGAAAATGCAGTTATAAATGGACAGACACTTATGTTGCATCATCTGAGTCAGAGTCTCCTCGCCTCGCAATTCCTTTCTTAGAAGATCTGTTGAAATTGGGTTTTTTAACATCAAATTGAAGTTAAGAATTTTCTGGAATTTCAGGAAAGAGAGGCCCGAGTGGAGTAGGTGATACCTCTGCCAGTACTCTATTCGTAAATCCTCTGTCTTGGCAAGTTGAAAAAGTCTGTCGAATCGGTGGGTACTTGCCCGAAGTGAAGGGGGACATCCAAAAGATCCCCGCATCTGAGGAAGCCTTTGTCTTCGTTTCCTTGGATCCCCTGTCGGTTCAGTCCGTCAACAAGTTCCTCTCTCCTTCTGCGCCTGTCACCATTGGTTCGTTTTTTGTTCCAAGTTTTCGACCTTTAATTTTCCCTTGGAAGTCTGGGGAAAAGAAATATTATTTGGCTCTCAGTAATGTCCTGTGTTTGAGTTTTTGCTTTTGTTTAATATCAGGAAAGGTAGGGGGTTACTTCAGTTTGGAGAACTCAAACCTCCGTGCAAAGATCGACCAATACGGGCGTTTGATCAGCCTGTGCGTGAAAAAGGCCAGTCCGGAGGATGAGGATAACGGGGACGGGGATGCGGACTCGGAATGGCGTGAAGCCGTGCCCCGGGGCCAATACGCCAATCAGCTCTGCCTCTTCCAGGACATTCCTCTCTTCTGGGACGCTTGGGATGTGATGGACTATCACCTCGAGACCCGAACCCCCCTCAATGGTGGCTTTGTGAGTCTAGTTCACTCCCTCGAATCAAGCGAACCCTTGCCTTTCTACTTGGTGGAAATTTAACTTGGCTGGAATTCTCTTCTCTTCTATTTCTTTAAAGCGAAAGCGAAACTGCCTTTTTGATATCGGGTCTAAGGCAGAAACAACCGTTGCCAAAGAGCCGTTTGCGAGTAAAGGAAAGTTTCAACATGAGTTTCTTTTGATTTTTCTCGTCAGTGAGACGCTTTCTGCGTGTGTCTAGGTTTTAGTTGGTAGTTGCCTAGTGGCTATGAGCCAATTAGTGGAACGCCGATAATGGATAAGGTAATTAGCTCGATGTCTGAGCAAAGATTTTATTTATCGAATACATTTAATTAATGGATTCATTCGCATTTAATTGGGACTAGGGGGCAGAGATGGGAACCCCGAAGGAAGTGGAGGGGATGTCGGGTCCGCTGGTGGTGGCCGTGGAATGGTCCATGAAAGTGGGGGACAAGTCCCAGCTTCTTCAAAGGATCTCCCTCTCTGCTGACTCTCCTTATCTGGAAATGGACACTACTGTCCACTGGTTCGAATCTCACAAGATGCTCAAGGTAATTTTCTTGAAATGTGGAAGCAAGGGCGCACCCTTGGAATTGGTATGGGTGATTGATCATCCTCCCAGCTAGAAATATATAAATACATGAATAAGATATGTATGGGAAGTGTGACATCAAATTGGACATTTTCAGTTCCCTGTGCGCAATATATGAGTCACTTTGCTAACATTGACTCCCGTGATATATTATCGTTTGCTTTTGTTCTGTTGTATCACTATCAGTGAATGAAATGCTTGCTTGCTTCTTACAATCACCCTCCCAGACCATCTGGATGCGCCCGTGTAGAACCTCTTCCCACTTTCCTCAAGAGAAGGGGAACTGAGAACTTTCGATTGTCCCTTTCCTCATCCCATCTTCTAAGAATTAGTTGAGTCTTAAATTCATGATGCAGGTGGAGTTTCCGATGAATGTGTTGTGTCGGGAGGCGACATACGACATCCAGTTCGGGCATTTGAGGAGACCCACGCACGCAAACACATCGTGGGATGCGGCCAAGTTTGAAGTTTGCGGCCACAAGTAAGTGTCCTCTCTCGTTCTCGATCGCTCGCCCCGAGTGCACGCGAAGGAATGAAGATGGGATGCCATATGCGAGGTGGGGAGAGATGGGAGAACATGGGTTCGGGGTCGGGGTGTTGAACGACGGGAAGTACGGATGGAATGCAACGGGGAACATCCTTTCCCTCTCTCTCCTTCGATCTCCCAAGAGCCCCGACGCGAATGCAGACATGGGGACTCATAATTTCAGATATGCCATCTTCCCTCATCATGGTACGTTGACTTTGTCACTCCCATTGCCAGGTCTGGGTCCTGCATTATTTGTTTTGGATTCTTTATCGACTGATGGACACTTCGAACAGAATAATCCAGATTGGATCCGGCTTTATAAAGCTTCTTTATGAACCAAATGACATTCATTATCGAGGCGAAGTTACAGGATTTGCAGATAAACTCCAACTCGAACTCCAGCATTCAGTCGGATATAGAAAACTGTTTCGGTTAAGACTTTTGTGTTCGATTTCGTTATGACGGGGCTTTATTGTGCATAATGTTCTTAACTTTTTCTCTAATCAATAAAAAAAATCGTATGCATGAAATTTTCTCTTATGGATATTTTCCTCCCCTTCAGGGACATTCCAAGAAGCAGGTATAATCCAGAGAAGCTACGAATTCAACATGGACTGGACCTCTAGCCAAATCTCGGGATCTCTCAGGTATAGTCTTTGACGTCGCGAGTCTCAGTGTCGAAAGTGACGCAAGACCCTTGACCGCCTTTGACTTTAAATTTTGCAGTCACACCCTGGGCGAGGTGTCGCATCCGGGAGTGATCTTGGAGACGGCGAAACCGGCCGAGGACGGAAACAAGAGTTATGTGCTTCGTCTGTACGAAGCGTTCGGGGCCCGAGTACAGAACGTCAGGTAAACGGAAAAGTCCACCGACTCTTGTACCGAACCTGCTTCGCGATGCCGATGGTCTCGTGATCTCTTCCTTAAGGGTGAAGTTGGTGGGGGACGTGAAGAGCGTGGCCCTGTGCTCAGGGCTGGAGGAGAAGAAACGCGAGCTCATTCTTCTCCCAAACAATTCCATCCAACTGAGTTTCACCCCTTTCCAAATCCACAGCCTCTTCGTCACCGTCGATTGAAGCGTTTCCCTGCTCATTCTTTTCTTTTTCGATGTGCTTAAAGGTGCGACGATGTGTGTGCCCCATAGGAAGTTTCAAGAATTGCTACATTTTTGCTTCGTGTTTGCTTTAGTTCATAAAGTGCATGGAATCTCAACGGAGTATTTAGTTCGTAGTTCTGCCTGACCTGTATATCCTCAACGTGCTCCTCCCCTCGTAGGAGAGGAAGCATGGAATCGCAAGCGATCCCAGATTGGCCCTCTGCCTTCACCCACGATGACGTACTATCAAAGTACAGAGTACAGGTTTTAGAACAATGGAGACTTTGCAACTATGTGTTGATATGCTAACTCGCCTAAAGTCTGAGAAAATATCTCTCTTGCGGAGTATCAGTGCATTCCTCCGGAAATATGGTGGGCCCGAAGCTTTTATTATTATTTTTTTGTGAAGAGTTTGGCTTGCTTCACGATAAAATGCCATTAGGTGTGATGTGAAACCTCGCAAAGACAAGTATATTGTGAAAGTTTTCATTATATCTATTCTTTTGCTCGGAAAAAAGATCATGATGAAAAGTTTCATCCGTATGCTAAAGCCTCATGCAGGCGAGATGAAGGAACCTCTAAGGCTCTAAGCTAAAGAGTCCCCTATAGGAGTTCATGATTTCTTAAAGAACCACTAACTAAAGGAAGCTTCAACATTCACGCCAAGTGTTCAAATAGTCCCAATATTTGCAGTTTTGGAGCAGCACAAGGTACGTTTCTATGGAACACCCAAGCTGAGCCGATGAAGCGAACTGGTTGTTTCCGCGAGAACAACTGAGCCAAAAATAATATGCTGCATCGCACTCCATGGTGCTGCATTTGTGCACCAGGAAATACAACCCCCATTCCCGAACAGAAGCGACTGGCACGTCCAGAATGTTCTCTGTATCAGATAAGACAGAGGGTGAAGGGTGGGTGGATGATATTGGGGTCACCTCTACTTTCCTCAATTCTCCCCGTCCTACCTGGTGAGGGAGGAACTACCGCATTGGTTGAGGCGACGGTGGAAAACTTGGTTGCCGACCCTGACGTCATTCACCACGTGACCCCGTCTCGCTCGTCTCCCCTCTAGTCACTTATTCCCTTCAGTTTACCTTTTGCCCTGGCGGTAGACTCCGTCTAGGTGACTCATGCATTCAGTTGGTCTGTCGTCGTGGAGTTTTGCGGCCTTTGGGATATTTTCCGATGGGTTTCATTCTTCGCCTCTCGATCTTTGTCAGCATTAGTCTTTTTATCTTTAGCCTCGAATGCCTTTCAGCCATTTTTCTCGCATCTTTATTTGCTCGCATAGGGTGATGCAGGGGCCAGGCTTCAGACATGGAACGGGTGCGACGACTCAAATCAGAGATCCTAGTATTCGGGCAGACTAAAGGAAGCATCAATATTATTGCGTCAGTAGGACTTGCATTTCTTTCGTTATCACTTATAGGAATCCTGAATGAAAATTGTTTCATCGCAGGTGAGTCAAGGTGACGTATGCGGTCGGTGGGAATTCCACAATAATGAACATTCGCCCATGCTGGCTCTCCGCCGAGTAGCGTTTTCTGTATGTGAGTTTCCATTTCCTCATCGAAACGTGACAACAGTTTTTTTTCACACTTCTGCATTAATTATAGGAATTCAATTCGAGATGGTGTCCTGAAGTTCCAGTATGGAGAATTTCCCCCCGTTCACGATTTTGAGTATCTTTCTGCCTCCATATCGTTTAATACATCCATCAAAAAGTTCGTATTTCCCTCCAGCTTCAGATTTTCATAAATTCTTAATCGAAACATATCGTGAACAGGTCTTAAAATGTTCCCATCGTGGGTGTTTAAATTGCCAAATCTTCCGAAATGCTGTAAGCATATGTTACAAGAGGCCAAAATGTATTCCTTATTCAAGAAACTTACGGTGCTCTTGTAACATTTGATACCAACTTTGTGGACGATGCCCTAAAGTGTCGATAATTTATCGTGTCTAGAGTTTGGATTCAAAAGATGCGAAACTGTCGACACTGCCTTTTTCAACTTTCCCCTTTTAAATATGCAACTTTAAGTTTTCGTAAATTTCCAGTCAAGTTGATTCCATTCCAAGGCGAGAATGTTTGGAATGATTTTATACTCAAGTTAATGAGCAGTATAGGAACAATCTAGCACTTATTGAAATAAGGTTTCCGTATACTGTGAACTGAAGATAAGTTAAGGTTAATCTACCCTTCATTGCATTTTCAGTGCATTGCACCCAGGTGAAAACTTTGGGTATATAGTACTTTTGTTCATCTACGTCGTGTACAAATTGAGTGCAACCTGTGGTCATTTGTGTACTTGTCAAAACTCGACACCCACACAGTAGATGCTATCAGACTTGACCATTTTTTTACCATTTACTTTACTATTACGTTCTTAGTAGCCATTGTGTAATTAGCGTAAATTTTCCTGAAATACCCTGCAAATGTTGAACTAATGCTCCTTCATTCGGCTCGAAATGTACTCTTAACGTTGTGAAATCTGATATTCAGGCATCTAGAAGGAAAGAAAGCTCCAGGCCTTTATCTCGCCTATGACGTTCTAGTATTCAGGCCGCAATCTTTGGCGACAGTCGGGTTATATTCGAAACTTAAATTGATAAAACACATGGGAAGAAAATTATATCAATATAAGAAAATTTGCAGATTTCAGATTTGTCCCTATTCAATCCAATAAATGATTTTTTTTTAAATCTGAATAAGAAATAGGAGGAACTCCTGTCGGAATAGAATCGAATAATTTACCAATTAGGCATTTTCAGGCTTTCTGTAATAACGCTCGATGTGTTAATTAGAGTAATACGTGGGGTGGTGGAAAAGTTCTACATTTTGCTATTTTATGATTTCGGCAAATCTGCATGACTTCTTAAATTTCGCAGATTTGTAACCCTTAGCGGAAGTAAACAAAGATGGTTGAGCATTAAAAGGTTTGTGATGCAACTCTTGTGACGGTGAGAACATATCCATGCAACATGTTAAAGCTCGATACTTTAAAATAAGGAGTCATATTGTAGTAGATGGAACATTTTATATCCGGACGAATATCAATTAAAAATGAAGTTTGTATGTACCCCTCCAGCTCGTCGGCGGTTGGAGTTATTACTTGGGCTCTCGTCGCAGGTGCCCTTTCGTCTGCGGGGGATTTCTGTGATATTTCCCACTGGATCCCAAAATGCAATGTTCGGATGTAAACATTTAATTTAAAATTATCTTCGAATATCTTGTAAAATATTAAATGAATTTTTGTTTGATTCAATCTATGATGCACAAATGCAATGATATGTAATTTTTTTTTGCAGGATAGGAATCTGAAAGAGGCAGGTCTGAAACTGGCTAGATAATAAAACCTGTCAACTGGTGATTATAAGCAAGAAAAGCTGCACTGGTTGGAACCTAAGTTTCCTCGGCTTATCTCCAGCTTTTCTTTTTACGCATGATCGTGTTGCTCCTCCACTTGGAATAAATCTTTTTTGCATTATGATTTTATCCTATTTCAATTTTATCACTAATTTGAAACATGAATTGCAATTGCACCTGTACAAAACACTTTCGTTCCATGCAAAAAAAAATGAATATTTCCCCGATTGCCGGGCCAATCATCGACTTCGCAATTGCGCACACTGAAATTGGAGATAAACTTGGAGATAAACTTGGATAAACAATAAAACTGGAGATCAATGCAATCGTAAATATTAGAATGACCAATAAGTTTTATCGTTGCGGTAAGGCAATAAGGACAATATGATGAGTAGGTTATTTGACATTCATTATGCAAGTGCACACTTATACCTGTGTACACTTATACACGTACACTGTTATACACTTATATCATACATCTGTGTCCTTATATACTATATTAATTAGATACAGATATGTTGAATCAGGGACAGGAAGGTTCTTGCTGTAGACAGTCCTACCAGTGTAACTCTTTTTCCACTACGGCGGACTACAACACGCAATTGCCTTCTCGTGTAGTGTCGCAACCCGCTAAAAAGTAGTGCAGGTTTGATTACATTTATTTCAGAATTTAAATGAAGCTTTCGTTAGCTGTGCTCGGATATGAAAATTCATTTATTCATAATTTATTAAAGATTAGAATTAAATTGAAACTTTCATGGACATTGTCTTATCAGCGATTGGATATCCCTCTAATGGTACCAATATCAAAGGGGCTCAATAATTTACTCCTTAATAGTTTCAGATTCATTGGAAGCTAATGCAATAAAAGAGAGAAGCTAACAGAGGTTTATCCATCAACTTTTGAGTAAAAATTTCAACTAACGCTGTAGAACGTTTTGAGATTATTCCGCAGAATGTTGTAAAACTTTACCAGTTGAATAAAAATGAGGTTGCGTAGCGTATATGTAATGTACTGAAAGAGCAACGCCTTGGTCGCATGCCAGTCATGACTACAGACTACCTCATGACACGGTTGGGGTGAAGGGATACAAGTTCACATGACCACCTCTCCACAGTGCTGCAACGCAGCCCAACAAGTGTCTATATTAGCTTGCGGACTAGGAGAACCGCCCCAATTTCCACAACCGGTATCTTCAGTTTTGAAAGGGATTTTCAGTGTTTTAAATTCCTGCGTGGCAGCAGCGCAAATTGCTTTGCTACCCTTTACTATCATTTTCAGTCGTACGATCCTTCAGGGTAAACGAGAATCTTCCTTGCTTTCCACGCTTCGCAAATGGGTAGAAATGAGCGAAAACCTAGACGCAGTTAGTCGCATGGATATTTTCCCACTACCATAGAGCAGAACCGTTTCTGCGCCGCTGACTGGGTAATTAATTGCTAGGTCGATGTGGGAAGTAGATGCAGCAGAAAACACTTACGAGAAAAATGGGGTACAATGGGGCTAATTTTTATCGATGAGGCGTCAAAAGCAGGCATAAATACCAGCAGCTCTCTCAGCAAATGATGCCTCATTACTGAATTCCATCCATTCTTTCCCCCGGAAGAGGGAAGTAGTAATTTCAGATGTTAATGGCGCAGAATTGATTTCACAGACCCGACACGTTCCCTAACGACGTCTTTTTTTTTTCTTCCTCATTCCGTCTCAGAAGCTTGAAGGATGGCTCTCACCTGGTTCATCGGGTTCATACTCGGTCAGTGGTCACAGGTCGATTCCTCTTAAGATCATTTGCTTCATTTTTAGTTCTAGTATACATATATATATATATATATATACTTATTATAGGTAATACAGTGCGTACCAACGTGGTCTTTGCCAAGGAATGGAAGGAAGACCTGTCATTTCCCCAAATGTGC